AACAAGGCAAATAATGTCTTCGTATCATTACGAAAATAGTTTGACCACCTAAGGGCAAGTTTAAGGGGTCTGGGGCCCCCAAGAGTCCTCTGACCACACTCTGGGACAGCTAGGTGAGGGTATGCTACAGGAACAGCCTCAGAATCTCAATGGTCTTCAAGAAAAAAGGTCTCTTTCCCAATCACAGGGCCTGTCCATCACATGTCAATGGGATGCCCTGTGTCTTGTTGTCTCCAGGACCCAGGCTGGCCGTTAATATTGCCAGCTACCCTTCCAGAAGCAAAAGGAACTCTGCAGGGCCTCACACTGATAACTCAATGCTCCAGGACTCAAGTGACATCAGGCACTTCTCACAATTCACTGGTCAGGACTAGTCACATGGCTCTACCCAACCACAAAGGGACAAAGAAGTAGAAGCCTACCACATACTCAGAAAATTACTGCCACAAGGTTCATACACCAAAATCTTGGACATTGTTTTAAAAATAAGAATAATAATGATGTCCTAAACCTTAAATTTTTAAAATATGGAATTGTTACATAATCATTTGAAAATAACTGAGGCTGTAAAAGAGATAAAAATATCAACAAAATGAAAAGACAACCTATTAAATGGAAGAAGATATTCACCAATGATATATACGATAAGCAGTTAATATTAAAAATTTATTTTTAAAAAAGTCAGACAACTCAACACCAAAAAAACAAACAACCCAATTAAAAAGTGGGCAAAGGACCTGAATAGAGACTTCTCCAAGAGGACATACAGATGGCTATAGACATATGAAAAGATGCTCAAGGTCACTAATCATCAGAAAAATGCGAATTAAAACCACACTGAGACATCACCTCACACCTGTCAGAATGGCACCATCAATAAATCAACAAACAACAAGCATCGGTGAGGGTTTGGAGACAAGGGAGCCCTCACGCACAGCTGGCGGGAATGCAGACTGGTCCAGCCACTGTGGAAAGCAGCATGGTGATCACCAGAGGGAAGGGGGTGAGGGAGGGAGGAAAGAGTAAAGGGGATAAACAGTGACAGGAGGAGACTTGACTGGGGTGGTGAACACACAATACAATACACAGACGGTGTATTAGACAACTGTACACTTGAAACCTACATATCGTTATTAATCAATGTCACCCCAATGAGTTTAATACAAATTTTAAAAATATATTTTTCCAAAAAAAAGATGAGGGACAACTAGGGTCACAGTGTTCTGTTTACTGTCTTGGCACAATGGGAGGGCATAGCCGAGCACCCATGGCCTGTCATCACAAAGACTGGCAAGAGTCTCCTAATGCAGTATGTTAGCCATGTGCTCTATTCTGCCCATCACTGGATCATTTTCCTTAAATGGGGACTTCATTTTCACGGCCATGCAAGTATCACTGCTAAAACCCAGCTTTACAATAGATAGAGCCAGTTCACCTAAGTATTTATTGAGCACCAACTGCCTGCCAGGCATGCTCCCTACACTAGGGGCAGCAATAAACAGGAATGACAAATTGCTACACTCATTCAACTTACATTACGGTTGGGGAAATCAGATCACAAACATATTGGCCAAAATGAATGTACAGTATCAGACAGTAACCGCTGCTGTAAAGAAAGTGAAACAGTGATGTGATGGAGAGTGATGGGGAAGGAGAACTACCCCAGAAACGGTGATCAGGCAAGACTTCCCTGAGACAGGAAACGTGAACTAAGGGGGCACCGGGACTCGGCTGCAGGAAGACCGGGGAACAGTATTCAGAGCTGGGGACCAGCCACTGCAGAGGCTGAGCAGGAAAGGAGCTTGTTTGGCAGAGTAAGGAAGGCTCCTGGACTAAGAAACAGGGACGGGGAAAGGTGAGAGGAGGCTGGAGGCCAGCTCAGGCGGACCGGGAGCGAGGAATAGCAATGGCAGCAAAACCAAGGCCTCCCACTGGCACACTAATGGCCCACTGTCTCCAACTGTGAACTCCACAGTAAAACACGCCTTCGCCTTCGGCGATTTACCAGCCTCCAATTGTGAACTCCACAGTAAAACACGCCTTCGCCTTCGGCGATTTACCAGCCAGGATCCATTCCCCAGGGGCCAGCCCTCTAAGTCGTTGCCTGGTTAGTTTATTGGCCTTTTACCGCCATCTTCTGGTTATAGTTGGCATGCCCACGCCAAGGTCGACACAAAGGGCTTAACGCGGGCGTATACCGGACACTGTGCGACTCTGCTGCCCAGGACCATGCCAAAGCCCTCCTAATTCTTACCGGTGTCCTAAACTAGATTTGGATCAAGGAGCTTCACAAGATACACAGAAAATGGGCCTTAGAACAAGAAACTTACATTTACTCGGTTAGCTGGACTGAGCGCCAGAATAGGCTTCTCAAACGTCCCCTACTTAAAATTTTAAAACAATGCCTGGTTATCTAATAGTGCCTGGGTCATGCCTGCCCACAACCTTTATTGTGCTAAATTTTCCATCTTTGGAGCATTCTACACCTTAGCAAAATGCTCTGGAGACACCTGTTCTTGCCATTAAAGGCAATACCAAGATGATTCCCCCCACCCCTCCTCCAAATCCCCATGCACCCACTCTCATCCCTGCTGCCCTCCAATGTTCCAATACAGGATGGTGGACAGACCAAGGACAGATAATAGGGTGGGATCCTTTCATTATCTAGTGCCCCCTCCCCCAGACCATGACCCCAAATAAGCTGATTTGGAATCCTAATGATCCTAATTTGCCAATGGTAGAAGTTTTGCCAAAATTCCACGGATACAAGGGCGAACTCAGCTAATAATAATGATGAACTTTCACAGGAGGTGGAGGTAATTGTATCCAGCTTAGCATACAACATGGTGTGGATAGTTAGTCATGGGCAGAATAACTTAAAATTGACACATGATAAATATCCTCAAATATATGGTCTGGGCCCTCCCCCCAAAAGTGCTGTCACCCAGGCCTACACTCCTGCTGGCCCAAGAGCAACTGCTTTCCCACACACCTGCGATGGTGGGATTCAGCCTCAATGGCCATGCCCACGAACTGTCATTGTATGGCCTTTTTGTTATGCTTAGCTTTATTGGGGTTCATTTGTCTCCTAGGATGGGTATGGGACATACCCAACTCAAACTGACGAGGCCACTGGGCCATCTTTCATTGTCATTGCCATCAGGTTTTATTGGGCCAGCCACCCTCTGGAACCAAATCTACCAGGTAGATGGGCTCCTCCCACCCACACTAGGATGGTTCTGTGTTTGTCCATGAAGGATGCATGGGAGTGACGCTTCTGAAAAAACAAGCTCCATTTGTCCAGCCTGTCTGAATATTGTTATCTGGGGTGAATTCCTGTGTACGGTATTGGAAACGTGGGTTGCTGCAGAACAAAAGAGGAAGGGTGTCCCAAATGTGACCCAAGGTCTCAAGCACAAGTAGGCCTCAGCTCTAAGCCCCCAAAGGTTGCCTGAGTGCTAGGTGGGCCTTGGGGACAAGAGTCCCTGGTGTGGAGCAGAGGGGGCTTCTTTTCTTCAGAAGGAAGTGTGATGTGGCTGGAGGGAGTGTGGTCCACGTCCTAATCCCTGGAACCTGTGAATATCTCATGTTCCACCACAAAGAGGAATTGAGGTTGCAGATGAAATTTTCGTTTACAGACTTAGTAGATACGTGGGTGTTAAAGGTGCTTCGGAAGAAAATGAGAAACATACTATTGGAAACTGGAGGCAAGGGGATCTTGTAATCTAGTGGCTCTGGGAAATTGTGTCCTGCTATGTAGAACTTACAAGCAATGAACTTGAATGTTCAGCTGAGCAGGTTTCCAAGAAAAGTGTTGCAGGTAAAGCCTGGTTTCTTCTTGCTGCTTACAGTAAAATGTGAGAAGAGAGAGATAAATTGAGGGGAAGAACTGTTACCCCAAAAGCAAGCAGGATTTGGTGGTTTGAGAAATACTCAAGCTACCCGAATGGCAAAGAAAGCTAACACTGAGAGTCACTGTTAAGAAAACACGCTCTAGAAAAAATGCTAAGGATGTGGCTGTACAAACTTTCACTAATAAATATCTCGGAAAGACCAAAAGTTCAGAGTACTCGGCCACACAAAAGGCTCTTTGAAATAAATGCGTGAAAGATGCTCGACATTAGTCATAAGGGAAATGCAAACCAAAGCCACAATGAGATACTACTTCATACCTATTAGGGTGGTTATTTTTTAAAAAAACAGAAAATAACAGTGTAAATGAGGATATGGAGAAATTGGGGCCCTTGTGGGAAAGTAAAATGGTGACTTTCTACAGCCAAGGCAAACCCTGAAGGGCCTGACAGCTGAGGGCCACCCGCCACAGCATTCCCAGTAATTGGAGCCACAAGTCCCTACCTGAAGGGGGATCTGGATGGCACATCTCTACGTCCACCACAGAAGACCGTGTGGTGGGGAGCTGCGCCTCACCGTGCACCTGAGTATCAGTCTGCTCACGTCCATATGGAGTTGGAGTGAGGCGGTGGACAGACAGCTGGACTAGAAGAGAGATGGCCATCAACCATGAAGGCCCAGCAAGTTCCCAAGTGTATCAAACTCAAGGAGTCTCCCCTCCACCCTGGCACTGGTCTTACCAGGTCTGGGCACAGATTGGGAGGGAACCTGGGCTTCCACTGAACCTGGAGCTACAGAGCCATGGAGATTCAGGCAGGGGGTCAGTCTGGCATTTCTCAAGGTTTGAGCCCCAGATGCAGTCAGCGCAGCTGCTCTCACGTTAAGACAAAGCCCATTCCTACCGCATCTTCTACAAGGTCTGCCTGGGAACCCCCACGCGCTGGCAAAGAGCAAGTGCAAATCCAGCTTTATTGGTAAAAAGAAATGAGGGGCCTGACTGGAAATTCCCACCTGGCCCAAGCGGAAGCCCCAAACCGAAAGGACGGAGGGAGGGAGGAAGGAGGGGCAGACGAGGAGGGTCTGAACGGGGATGTGGTCTTGGAAGGAGATGACTCAGGGCTCCAGGTGTGGGAAAGAGAGCAGGGAGGGAAGGGTGGCCATGGCCCTGCCATCTATAAGGGTAGCAGCTCTTCCACAGGGATGTTGAGGGTGACATCCATGTCTGGTGTGCACCTGACAGGGAAAACAAAGAGGGGTGTGAGAGGCAAGCAGAGGAGCCAGAGTTGTAGGGTGGGGAGCATGTCCTCAGGGGAGCCCTGCTCTTTAGAACACTGGTACTTATCTGGGGAACCCCACCGGCAACCTTGCAGCCCAACTGCATAAGGATGCACCTGCTTATGCGCACGCACGCACACACACACACACTCAAAAATGAAACATGACTGATGTTCCCCTACAGAGGCCTAAGGTCAAGAGGGAGCAGGAACTCAGCTCTAAAGTGTGGGGGTCCCTCAGGACAAGCACCCTCTCTGAAGCCAGATGACTCCTTTGGAAACCTGGCTCCGTGAGCATCCCACTTGCCCTCTCGGAGCCTTGCTCTTCCTGTTGGCACCTGTGCAACAAGCACTCACTATGTGACAGACCCCAGGTAGGCCTCAGTTTCCTCATATGTCAAAGGGGGGTAATAATTCCAACCTCAGTGGTTGGGAGGGAGGTTAAATGACTCGTGCTGGCATGTGATAAATGCTCAGCAAGTGACAGGCACTATTCTTTCCCTGTGGTAGCAAGAGCACGGGTTTCCCTCTGGCTCGAGACAGCTGCCAAATGATCACATACTTGGGTCTCTGAAGCAGCACGTCTGCAAACACCACCTCTCGGGGTTCCTGGGTCTGGGCTTGGAGCTGTTTCACCTCGGCCCTTAATTTGGGTATTTTCTCCTCGAAGTGGCTGACAAACTGAGAGAGGTACAGCAGGGGAAACTGAGAAGCCATATGGACCCAGCCAAGGGGAGAAGAGCACAAAATGGCCAAGGGGTAAAGACATTTAGGGAAATGGTCTGGGCCTTGTCCCTGGGAGGCCCGGGACCCCAGAGAGGGGCCTCTCAGACAGGGCAAGGCTGGCTCAGAAATTAGTGACGATGTTTGAAGGCCCTGAGAAAGGTGAGGGGATCGTGGAGAATGGGGCAGGCTGCAAAGCGGAAGCCAGTGCTTGATATCGAGGATTAGTGAGGGCTGGTGGAGACAGTGAAGGCGCGAGGCAATGAAAATCAACGCAAGAGGGTGGTGATGGTTAAGTTCATGAACACCGGTAACGAGTGATGGTCAATGACAAGAATTAAGGGGGGGAGGCAGGAGGTGGCTAGTGACAGTAAAATGATGGTTGTGTGGGCAGTGCTTGGTGATGTTGCTGACGGGCCATGCCCAGAGATGCTGGTTTATGAGGCAAGGCCTAGGCCACCACAATTCCCTTCTCAGACGAATGACAAGTGACAGTAATGGCACTGGCAAGGAGAAAGGCCAACACCAGAGTCCAAGACCACCTGAGTACCAGATCAGGACAAGCTTGACTCCCACAGGTCCTGGGGCCTGCCCACCCCTCTGCTCCCTCAGAGGGGCCATCACTGTCCTTGCCCACTCACTTCTCTGAACTTCTCCGTGTATTTCACCATGCTCTGGTTTTCCCAAGTCTTCTGCAGAAGAACCCCCTGACTCGGTTGCTGGATTTTCTGTGAATGAAGGAGAGTCTGGCCCCCACGTGCCTCTTCCTGGGCAGCAGTGGGTGGTCGAGGTTGGTGGGGGCACAGTGGGCCTGGAGGCAAAGCATGGGGAAGAAAGCAGGGATGGATGCAGGAGCTGGCTACTCACCGCCACCAGAGAGCCCAGAAGCTTTTTTCTCTTCATCTGAATCCGATCAGACAAAGACTCCAGGGCAATTTTGTGAATCTCATTAAAGTCATCCAACTCATCCTAAGGACCAGCAGGAGAGTGTTGGCCACCAGCCCTGCCTCCCCCTTGGTCCAATAAGGAAAAGACAGGGGCTCACCCACCTGCTGGTTGTCCTTCACCTGCTGCAGCTGGAGCGCAAGGTTGGCAATCTGGACCGACTTGACAGGATACTCATGGTCCATGTAAGTGCTCAGGAAATTCACTTCCTCCTGGGTCTTCTTGATCTTGGCATTCAGCTGCTCTACCTGCTGCTTCAGGTCTGGAGAGGTCAGGAGGAACAGGAGGCAGGATCCTCCCTCAAGGACCCCTCCCAGGAAATCCAGGAGGCAAAGCTCTCCTTGGCCAATGGATGGGTTCTGGGCTGAAGTGAGCTCACGCAAGGCTGCGAGGTGGTGAAAAGTTAAGGCCCCAGAGAGTTTTTTACCCCCGCTAAAGACCAACACAGGGCAGAAAAGATCCCAAGACTAGTCCCAGCTCTACCACTGACTTGCTATGTGACCCTCACCAAGACCATCCCTCTCTGGACTTCAGTTTCCTCATACTCACAGGTGCAACACAAGCCCAGAGAGATGGAGCAACACTGGTTCCCAAGACAAAACCACAGCAGAATTAAGACAAAGTCTATCTTGCTGTCCTCCTTGGAAAGGATCCCCAGTATCTGAGGCTGTCTAACACACCGTCCCTCTGCTCAGAGGGCTTCTAGTCTGCTCACAGGAAAGAAGCCACAGGCTCAGCAGGACAGACACTGAGAGGCCTGGGACCTGGCCCAGCCACTGACTCCCAGAGCAATCTTGCCAGGAAACAGAGGCAGGCTTGGATTGGATTCTGGTTCCTAACTGTATAACCTTCAGCAGGCTACTTCAGTTCTCTTAGCCCCCATTTCCTCATCTGTAAAATGGGAGAATATTCCTTTCCTCGCAGGCAGTCGTAACTGAGAGTGTGCCCATAAAAATGAAGGCACATGGGGCCTGGAAGTGCTAAATGCTCCATAAGCAAGGATCTTAGCAATTCCTTCTGCCTAAGATGGGAGATGATGGGCCTGATGGTTCCAGAGCAGCAGGTACAAGGTGAGTGCCCTGCAGCTGACCTCCCTGGAGGGGCAGGTAAGGATCCAGGAGCTTGATTCATGGATTCTTACAGCTCATCTTGGACTCCTCCTTCTCCTTCCACTGCTGCAGCTCACATGCCATCTGCTGCAGCTTCTTCTTGTTGGAGCACCCCAGGCTGTTGATGATGGTCTGCAGGAATGGTGGGATCAGCTCGCCCCACCGAGAGCGTGGCCTCTCGGGGGACTCAGTATTGCCTCGGAGGCAAACCCAATCCCACTCCCAGGCCCAGGAATCTTCCCAAAGGCTAGAAAGCAGTCACCTACTACTCTACACCCTCCCTGCATTCCCCTTTCCTACCACCCACCTCAGCCAATGGCCCTACCACACATCCGGGCACACAGGCCCAAACTCAGGGATCAGTCTTTACTCCCCTCTCTCACCCAAAATGTCACCAAGTAGTATGGATTTTATATCCCAAACATTGCTCATAGCCATGTCCTTCTCTCCATCCTTGCTGCCACTCTCTTATTCAAGTTTTCTTCATCTCCTGTCTGAAATAGGACAACAACTGTGCCCTAACTGGTCCTCTCCTTTGACTGATTCTCCACGCAGGAGTCAGAATGATCTTTCTTTAAAATACAGCGACCTTGTTCCTCTCCTATTTAAAACTTTCCAATGGCTCCCCTCTGCCTTGTAAATAAGGTCCAGACTCCTTACGCTGTCTGACAAGGCCCTCCTCCACCTGGCCTGGGCCAATGTCATCTCTCTCTGATCCCTTCCTCATGCCTTATTATCTAGCCACACTAAGCAACATGTGGCTCCTTGAGCTGGCTATGCTCCTTCTCACCCCAGGCCTTTTGTATCCATTCCCTCTGCCTGGAACATTTGCCTGCTCTCTACCAGTTAATACCTATGGCTTCACATTTCAACCCAAGCCTCATTTTCTCCAGGAAACCTACCTGATCTTCCCATGTCTGGGTTAGAGAGCCCCAATAAGCCCTAAGTCCCTCATCCCCATCACAGTACATACAAATGGCTTTCTAACTGCCTGTGACCCCACTAGAATGAGAGCTTGATGTGTCCCACTGATCACTATTTCCCAAGGGCCTATAGAAATTACTCAGGATGATAAAAAATGTATTAATGAATCCATGACAGAAATCAGGCAATAACTTTGTCTAGGTATGGAGAATATTCTATTAAGTTTCCTTGGACTGAATTAACTCTGTAAGTCCTTGGTCTCTGTTATAGATTGAATTGTGTCTCTCACCCCACCCCAAATTCATATATTGAAGCCCTAACCCCTAATGTGACTGTATTTGGAGATACGGCCTTTAGGAAGGTAATTAAAGATAAATGAGCAAAAGAGTAGGGCCCTATTCAACAGGACTAGTGTCATTATAAGAAGAGGAAGAAAGGCTAGAGATCTCTCTCACTGCATGTGAGCACAGAGAAAAGGCCATGTGAGAACACAGCAAGACAACAGCCACCTACACCCCAAGGAGAGAGCCTTCACCAGGCATCAACCCTGCTAGCATCTTGATCTTAGACTTCCAGCCTCTGGAACTATGAGAAAATACATTTTGGTTGTTTAAGCCACCTGGTCTGTGGTATTTTGTTACAGCAGCCTGAGTAGACTAATCCAGTTCCCCAAAATTAATTTTCTTTTCATCTCACAGGCTCCAGGGAGTTCAGTCCCTCTTCTCCCTTGGCAGACTGCAGTCAGAGAAGGAATCACTTCTCCATTAAATCATTCTCTCTGACTCTTCCTCAGCCCAAATTCCTAGGTTCCCTGAGAACGTTCAGCCTCTTACCACAGCTTCACTTAGCCTCTTCTAGAGGAGGCTGAGGAAATTCCCTGGGCTCTCTGCAAAGTCACTCTTCACCCATGGACCAGAAGTGCCACCACTAGATGAGGGTGGTAATCACAGCTGGTGGAAGGAACACAGATCCTGGCTCAAATCCCAACTCTGACTTTTGCTAGCTGGGTAACCTTGAAAATGAGCAAGTCACTTAGCCTGTGTTTCCATTTCTTCACAGGTAAAATAAAGATAATAATAATGCCCACCCCATAAGGTTGTTGTAAGGATTCTTGAGTATATGCAAAGCACTTAGTACTACACTGTATAAGTATTTGCTGGTGGTGGTGATGATAGCAGCTACTTTCTCTTACACACCTACTGTAAGAGAAACCCTTTGGAATGGGTGCTATTAAGCCCTATTTTACAGAGCTCAGAGGTTAACTCAAAGTCTCTCAGCTAATAAGTACTGACGTTAGGATGAGCCCCTGGTCTGATTCTAAACCCCTGGTAGGTGGAGCAAAGTGTGTAAGAGATGCATCTTCCAGATGGAAGCAGCTGTGCAACCAGCCAGGAGAGGGCGCCAGAGCGCTCAGGAGGGCGGTGTGGCGGGTAGGACCGAGGACCTGAGTGCAGAGGCGGGACAGTTAGGCCAAGGTGGGGCCTCACCCCAAAAATGTCCTGCTGCTGCAGCATCCCACGCGTTTTCAGGGCTGAGCTTTCCTCCATGTCCTGGATGGTCTTGATCAGCTCCTGATTGAGCTTAATGAGCAAGTCCTCCTGTTCGCGGAGCTCCTGGAGCGAGGTCCGCCGGTTCCTGAGCATCGTCTGTGGGCGGAGGGAAGGGGATGGGAGGCGGCGCTGCGCCCGGAGGCCGGAGCCTCCCGGGGCCTGGGGACCACTTTCCTCCCGCCAGACATTCGCCTCCTAGTGGCCTCAACTGGTAAATGCGACCCGTGCTGGGAGGCGGTTCCCCATTGTCTGCGGCTCACAGCACCTCCAACTATTTCATACATTCGGAAACGCCCTTTTCCCGTAATTATACATCTCTGAGATAGCGATGCATCTTACAGTTGATACGTCTCACAATCTAATTGACAAATATTTTATTAGTGGGTAAATAAAATAAAGGTGTGCCTTATCAATGGCTTCCTAGAATCAATGAAATACAGTAAAAATAATCATTATAATAGAAAATGCCCCCACGTAGGTAAGAAGGTGGCAGAAATAATGGGCCGTGTCTGGAGAAGCAGAGAGGGGGAGTGGGTGATAATCACTAACATCTCTCATCAGGCAGCTGAGCTGAGTACTCTCTCATTTCACACAATGCCCCTGTTGGAAACAATGAGGGTCTAAGGGCTTAAGTTACCCCCAGCAGGTACACAAAATCTACATTAATAACAACAATAACAACTGTTGAGGACCTACTATGTGTTGGGCACTGTGCCTTATTTGGCACATGGTGCATGGTATCATTCATCCTCTAACAGCCCTATTTTACTAACTCTATTTTACTGATAGGTGTAAGCTCAGACAGGTTAAGCGACTTGCCCAAAGTCACACAGCCAGGAAGTGAGGGCACCGGAACCGGAAAGGCAGACTTCTGATTCCCAGTATGTCTGTCTTTCCACTATACTAAGACAAGGAACTGGGAGGGCTTAAAGCTGCAAGGCAGGGCTGAATCTCAAAGTGATTAGGACTTGGATGTTAGGCCAAGACACACCGTGCTTCAAATCCCAGCTCTGGCACTTTACCACCTAAAGGAAACTGGGCAAGTTGGACTCCCAGAGCCCCACTATACTCATTTCAAACATGGATAACTAATACCCACTCAGAGAGCTGCTGTAAAAAAAAAAAATCAGTGAGGTCATATTCATGATGGCAACGTCTCGCTAGGTGCACTCAGAGAACAGGAGCTGATACTATTCTCATCGGCTCTCACCCTCCACCTCTGCCAGACCCATGTGTTCTCTTCTTCACGCCTTCTCTTTTCCCTCAGTCCTCTGTCCTTTGCTAGGACCCTCCCCTATTACTAGCCCTCAGCTCCCATATTCCTCATATAATAATAAGAGTAATAGGGCAAACCTATGGAGTGCTTATTGTATGCCCAAAACTGTGTTAAGCAGGTTACACACACTATCTCACTTGGCACTATTACTAGCCCCACTGTATAGAAGCAGAAACTGAGAGTCACAGAGATTCAGTAAGTTACCCAAGGTCACACATAGTAGAGCTGTTGTCCTTGAAGTCTGGGCTCCTAGCCACTCCACTATCTTTTTGTTGTTGTTAATCCTCACCAGAGGATATTTTTTCCACTGATTTTTAGAGAGTAGAAGGGAGGGAGCGGCAAAGAGACAAAGAGAGAGAGAAACATAGATGTGAGAGAGACACACCAACTGGTTGCCTCTCATACGCACCATGACCAGCCGGGGATGACCCTGCAAACCAGGTACGTGCCCTTGCCCAGGAATCAAACCACTGAGAACACTGGCCAGGACCCACTCCACTATCTTGCCTCCACATCTCCACACCAAAATATCTCCAAATATGGCCCACAGGGACCAGAGCATCTTGTGAAAAATCCCAGTCTCCAAGTCTCAGGCCCAGTGAGTGAGCATCGTTAGGGCTGACACCAGGAATCTGACTTTTAACACACCTCACTCCCAGTGATTTGGGTAAACTGTAGAATTAATGGCCTCTGCTCTGGAAATGGATCTTCTCTAACCACCAGATCTAGCATAGAAACCCTTCTTTGCTTCTTTCTTGACCCTTACTCCAATTTGTAATTACTAATTATAGTTTGTAGTTATGTCTCCCCCATTTCCAATGTATTTTTCTCCTAGGATTTATCATCAGTCAACATAACAAATATTTTTCTTATTATCTTGTTTCTGTCTGTGTCCCCCACTAGAATGTCATAGCGAGGAGGGCAGGGGCATTGGTTGCTTTGTCACAACTCCAGCACATAGGACGGTGCCCAGAGCTCCATAAGTATGGGTTGAATATGCTGATGAATACCTATTGTCTGGGTTTTTTAAATTCCTTTATTAAAATTCATTTATTCATTTCTTTTTTTCCCCACTGAAGTGTAAGCTCCATAACAGCACAAATTCTGAGTGCCATGTTCATGGCTGTGTCCTCAACACTCGGCATGGTGCCTAGCACGTAGTAGGCACTCTCTCAAGAGTTGTAGATTGAATAAATAGTTGTCCTGAGGCTAAGAGGCAGAGTCAGGATCCCACTCCAGCTCCAAAAACAAACCAGCGGCATCGTTTGTGCTCCCTTTCTGGTTCCCCCTTGTCTCCGCAAGTCCCTCCTCCGTCCACACAGCAGTGGCGCCCCAAGGACTCCCGTGAAAATCTACATCAGATCATGTCCCGGCTCCACTCAGAAGCCGCCAGGGTCTTTCTCTACTCAGCATAAAAATACGAAGTGTACTCATGAACTACAGGGCCATACACATATCTCCCTTATCCTCACATCCCAACACCTTTCCCCCTCGTCAACTGCTCCAGGCACACCAACCTCACACCCACCTCACACCAAACCTCAGGGCCTTTGCGCTGTGGCCCCTCTACCTGGAACAATCCTCCCTCAGATGTTCCCACCTTAGCAGCCTTCCCTGACCACCCCATCTAAAAAGTCACAGCCACTCCCTCCTCTGTGCCTCTCTAGCCCCCTATCTTTATGCCTCTCCATAACTGTTAGCATCACCACACATTATATTTTTGTCTTGTTTATTGTCTGTCTCCCCAGTAGAATGTGAGCTATCGAATGTCAGAGGCCACACCACTAGTGAATCCTTACACTTAGAACAGAGCCTGGCTCATAGGTATTACTCAACAAACAATAAATATTTGTGAACTAAGTAAACGAATGAATGATGACGAGAGACAGTATTAGAAACTGGTAGCACAGGTTTTAGAGCCAAATTGTCCCAAGTTCATGTCTTTTATCAAACAAACACGCATGAACCCTTCTAAAGTGAGGATAAAAATAACATCGGACATGAGTTCCTCCTTGAAGAATGCTGGGTTGGCCCAACTGGCGTGGCTCAGGGGTTGAGCATCGACCTAGGATCCAGGATGATCCAGGTTCGATTCCCGGTCAGGGCACTCGCCTGGGTTGCGGGCTCGATCCCCAGTTGGGGGCTTGCGGGAGGCAGCGGATCAATGACTCCCTCATCATTTATGTTTCTATCTCTCTCTCCCTCTCCCTTTCTCTCTCTGAAATCAATAAAAATATATATTTTTTAAAAATGCTGGGCTGACTCTAAATCATTTTGCAAAATTGAAGGCTAAAGGGTAAAAATCTGTTTCAAAGCAAATATATTTTCCCCTATTTCTTTATATAGCAGTCATTGCTCATGAGCTACTAAAGATGTTCTTGGAGAAGTTAAGAATTCGTCTATAGTACTTTGTAGTACTTTTAGTATTTAGTATTTTACTTTTTGCTGTAGACACGAAGGCCCCTCCTTCTTTTAGTCATTTCAAATACTCTGAAACACTGTTCAGAAGCCATATAAAACAATGGATGGTGAGAGAATGAATGATCCAAAACTGTGTCAGCTGATGTAAAAAATTTAATAGTAAGCTTCTAAGCCTCATTTCAAGATGCACTGTATTCCATGAAAGGAACTTACTGGAAATTTTTAAATGAACAAGCTACAGACTACATTCCTAATGCACTGAAAAGGGATTCTGATTGTTTTCCTGAGTCTTAAACACAACAGCACCTTGCTTAACTGGCTTTGGCCCCTGGTACTGCCATTTTCTAGCTATGTGACCTCATGCAAGTCATTTATCTCCCTGCACCTCAGTTTCCCCATCTATAGAGTAGGGATGATGGTAAGTGTGCCCGCAGGGCTGCTGTGAGGAGGAAATGAGTCAAGTCAGACCCACAAGTGGTCAGTGCATGTTTGCTTCTGCCATCCCCATGCCCCTGCCCTGGGCCCCAGTGCTTTGCGAGGATGCTCCAAATACCCTCATTAGCCGGAATTTGGTCTTCCCAGAGTCGAGCTTCCCTCTGCGCAGTTCTCGTGGATTCCTCACCTGGCTTGTCATCAACATGGTGGGCTTGGAATACCCTAGGGCATGAGACAGGGCAGAGAGTGTAGGTACAGGCAGGCCTGGGGTCAGGTCCCAAGGAATGCACCATCCATGAGAGATGCTCTAGGCCGCAGCCCTATCCCCTCACAACTTTATTCTGTGTGACAGTGAGACAAAGGATGAAATTCCCATCCTTCAGTAAGCTCCCAGGCCCCACTCGGGACCTTGATATAAGGGATGGAGAAGCCCAGGGAACTTCCACATATCCATTGACTGTGGGTATAGACAGAGGGGAGGAAAGGAACAAGAAACAGCCCTGTGCCCCCAGTCTCTCCCACCAAGCTGGCCAATGGCAAGCTCAAACAGGGTAAGGATTAAGAGTAAAAACTAATGAGCCAGACAGCCTGAGTTTGAATCTAGGCTCTGCCTTCTATCAGCTGTGTGACCTTGGACAGGTCTCATGATCTCTCTGTCCCTCAGTCTCCCCATCTGTAAAACAGAAATAATTATCATGCCTACCTGATAGGGTTGTCATGAAAATTAAATAAAAAGTTACTATATTTTAAAGTGTTTGAAAATTGTACCTAACATGTACTGAGTGCGAATACATATTAGTTGTTACCATTATTACTAATAACCTGAGAACTGGGATCAGCACGGGAGCTATGCAAAACTCCAACTGGCTGTCTCTGACATACTTATAAAAGCTGTGTGGTCCTGCCGGAAAAGGAATATAGGCAAATAATTCTGATCAGAATAAGGCATTTGGAGGATATGTTCTTAGAGTCCCTGAGTCCTCTCAGCGTGTCCTGTGCCGGCATGAGACAAGTCACCTGGATGCTGCGGCTGCATTCTCAGCCCCCACCAGAGTCCCTGCCTCAGGTGCAACCCAGTTCATTTCTGAAAAATATTTCTTTAATGAGTCAATACCCTTAGCCCTGGAAAAGTTTAGTATTAAGGATTGAAGTGATGTAAATTAAAATAATTTGCGTGAATGTTATGAATTATCTGTAGAATGGTCCCCCTTATCCAGTTTTGCTTTCTGCAGTTTCAGTTACTCACAGTCACCACAGTCCAAAAATACATAATGGCAAATTCCAGAAATATACAACTCAGAAGTGTTAAACTGTCCACTATTCTGAGAAGCGTGATGAAATCTCACCCCATCCAGCCTGTCCCACCCAGGGCATGAGTCATCCTTTTGTCCAGCATCTCCACACTACATATGCTCCCTGCCTGTTAGTCACTTAGCAGCCACCTGGGTTACCAGATCTACTACTGAGGTATCACATGCCTGTGTTCAAGTCACCCTTACTTTACTTAACAATGGCCCCAGGGCACTGGAGGAGTGATGCTGGTAATTCGGACACGCCAAAGAGAAGCCATGAACTGCTTCCTTTAAGTGAAAAGGTAAAAGTTCTCAACAAGGAAAGAAAAAAAAAAAATTGCATGCTGCGGCTGCTAAGGTCTATGATAAGAAATTGTGAAATTGCCCAGCCGGGCGTGGCTCAGGGGTTGAGTGTTGGCCTAGGATCCAGGCGACTGGGGTTCGATTCCCGGTCAGGGCACATGCCCAGGTTGCGGGCTCAACCAATGACTCTCTCATCATTGATGTTTCTGTCTCTCTCTCTCCTTTCTTCTCTCTGAAATCAATAAAGATATATTTAAAA